ATAAAATATGTCTTTAAAAATATAATTTTAATGATTAATAAACATTAAATTAATAATAAAATTAAAATTTTATATATTTAAAAATAAAAAAGTTAAATATTTTTGTTTAAAATAAAGATATCAAAATTATATATAAACAAAAATATAAAAAAGATGAAACTTAGCCCATATATAAAAAATTGTTCATAACATTTTCAACATCTAATAGAGTTGAAGTTGTGACTTATGTCAATTGTGTGAACTACAAGGGCAAGTAACTGGTTGCAGGAGATATGTCAATGGATGATCTAGAATAAATGATAGATAATTATTAATTTATGAGATATGAACACCAACATTTTTGGTCAGCTCTGGGTCGTTTTCTATGTGCAACGAAAAAGGTTGAGGTAATATTCATTCATGCTGATCTTATAGTCTTCCACGGAATTAGAGTCTAATTGGGACACATTATTAATTTCAGCTTCTTTTTTTTCAAACTGTGTTTAAAAAATTAAAAAAATTATTTTTATAAAGTCAAAATTTTGAAACCTATGATTATTTCTTTTACAATTTTTTAAAGTTGAATTACAAAATAAAAATTAATTTTTTTATTATATTCAAACGAAAGCAATCATTTTAAAAATATTTTTCAATAATTTTATCCAAAAATTTCAATTATAACAAAATAATTAATTATTTATATTATAAAATAATTTAATTTTCTCAATTGTACTCTTTATCTGTCATTGCTTATCAAAATTTTGGAGAAATATTCTTAAAATAAACGGAGAAAATGGATATCAAAATGTGGTGCATGAGAAGAAAGAAAAAACTATTTATAAGAAGAAAAAAATGTCGCATTATTTATTGAATCTATCAAAATGGGTCAACTTTATTATTTTCAACGAATGACCTCTTTCTAGAATGAAAACATGCTCTATATTATTTAACTAATAAAGTTTTGAAAAATTCTACGTATCCACGTAAATTTAATGATTTTTAAAATTATTAATTTTTAAATTATTAATTATTAATTTTTATTTATCTATTTTATTATTTTATAGTTTTGTACTTATGTCAAGTAATTAATTAGAAATATTTTGGATATTTAAAATTGATGAATAAAAAAAAATTAGAATTCGCATTTTTTATCAAATCAAATTAATATTACAAACATTTTTTCATCTTATATTTCATAAATCTTAAAATTATATTTTTACATTTCTATTAAATAATTAATATAATATTTTTTTTTGTTGAAATATGAAGAAAAAATCAAATGAGTGACACAGGCAAAGATTGACTCGGCTTTTACTTCTTCTAGAAAATGGACATTTGTACTCATTTCATCTCACGCGTGAGCACATGTGCGTTACTGAGAAGGTTAATTTTAGAGAGGATGAACTTTAATTGAAAATTTTCTTTAAGGTGTGTTTGTTTACTGTTTAGTAAAAAGAACGACAAAATTAATTATATTGATTTATTTTTACATATAAAATGATGTTCAAAATATATAAAATACAAATTCAACCGATCCGATATTAGATAAAGTACTAAAATTATTTGATAATTTTTCATGTCAATTTATTTTAACATGTAAAATGATGTTCACAATAAATAGAACGCAAATTTCAACCAATTCAACATTAAATTAAATATACAAAATTACTATAATATGCCATTTTCTTGGTAAAGAGAAAAATATGTCTATTATTATCAATTTAGATTTTTTTAATTCATACGAGTATTTATTAATAAACTTTTTAATTCGTATGAGTAATTATTAGTAAAATTATAAATAAAAGCGTATTATATATATATATATA